GGAAATTTCACAATCTTAAAAAAGGTATTAATGAGGATACAGAAGCAAAAGGCTCAGATCCTAGCCGCTGTTTATTGTGCAAGGGCTGGATGCATGTGCCCGCTAAGGGCGCACATCCCCTATCTGCGATCTTCATAAGGGGGCTGCTCTCTGCCTCATATAGATAAGGACAACCAAGCTCAGCGAGGACGTGTTCATCTTATGGTGGACTTCAGAGCAAAAGGAAATGCTGCTGACACATCACCAGTGGGTTGTGTTCTACCCCTGGGAGGGGTGATGGTGTGTGCTGATTCTCCAGTGTCTTTTGTTTTTCTCGATCTCCTCTGTGGCTGGTGTTTTGAACCTGACTGGGTGGGGGGCGGGAGAAGAACAATGGACGAGCAGGGTGGTCCAGCAGAGGACCACATGAGGACTCAAGCTGTCCAGCACCTTGATCTTGGTGAGGCAGGGTGATAATTGAGCTACTGCTCTTTGCTACGGTTCCAGGCACTTCCCCAACTTTGGAAAGCTACCCATTTATTGCCTTATGGGAAGTATAGTGCAACAGAATAGGGAACTCAGGGTTGAATTTCAAAAAGAGCTCAGGGTGTGAACAATACATTTGGAAGAATACTAGCTCAGAGCCAGTGTTTGTCCCAAGCCTCTCTGAGATTAAATAAAGGTTCTAGGGATTGGCAAAGGGGAGAAGAGCTCCGAGGAAGGGCCCGCTATGAGTCCTCGGTTGGAGGGGGGGAAATGGAGGGTCCCTACAGAAATCCCAGAGATGCTGGAGAACCCTGGGAGGACGAAGTTCCATGAGCCCCTGAAGTTCCCTGGGGAGAGCCCAGGAAAATAGCCTTAACCCAGAGTCTCCCTGGCCCCCACAGCTGACATATTTTTTTTTCTTTAAATTTTTTTTATTATTATGTTAATCACCATACATTACATCATTAGTTTTTGATGTCGTGTTCCATGAGTCATTGTTTGCGCATAACACCCAGTGCTCCACACAGAACGTGCCCTCTTTAATACCCATCACCAGGCTAACCCATCCCCCCACCCCCCTCCCCTCTAGAACCCTCGGTTTGTTTCTCAGAGTCCATCGCACAGGTGACATATTTTTATTCGAAGTTTAGGTGCACAGGTGTGAATAGCCTGTGCACAGGCTCCCCCACCTCGTGCCCGCTCTCACCGCATGTGGATCCGGCAACACCGCAGAATGCTGACTTTATGGCCAGAGAGGGGGGCCTGCTGTACCTGAAGAGGGCCCACAGCTGGGACAGGGAGGATGTAGTGGTCGTGAGCAGGCACCATGAGACCAGATGGACGGTTTGTGACTGCCAAACACGTATCCACTGGTAGATGGCGGTGACTAAGGGCCAAATGCTGGTGCTGTTGCCTCCACCCTCACCTCACTGGTTGGCACGAGGCACTCTGGGGTTTCGATGTGACCCTGTAAAGGAAGAAATGAGACCCTGGAAGCCAATGCAGGCATCACGGAAATAAATGAATGTTTCTTTGCACTCAAATCTGTCAGCCAAGATTTGCAGTCACTGCTTGCATAGCTAGCTAGTGGTGAGTTTGCTGTCATGGTGATGCTGGTAACTAGAGGCCTTGGTCGTGGTAAGGTTTTAGGCACACCTTTAGTGACAGTGCTGGAAGGTCGTAGGAGAAGGGTCATGGGAGTTTGAAAGCCTGGGGTTTCAGTTCTGACCTTGACCTTTACTCCAGCCATGGCCTCTGCCATTGGTTCACCATTCTGGACCTCTACTTTTTTATTTAGAAATTAATATTGGGCTAAATTGTCTCTAATGTCCCTCAGAGTTCTAATTTTGCAAGATCATATAGTTAAAATCAGATACTAAATTCATTTCAAATGGGTAAAGGAAAATACTGCATGAACCCCATCTCCCCCCCTTACTCATATGATCAACCAGCTCACGGTCTTTTCATTTATACCCTATTTCGTGCTTACATTTTGTTCAGTCCTGTAAGCAATCACTTACAGTGTGTGGACAAGGTGATTTTGTCCCGCTCTAGCCTCTGTCTTGTTGGTGACTTTTCTCTCAGGTGACTGCCTAGGAATTCCTGATATTTGCATTGGTCCTTGGTTCTCTGGCATCCTGAATTTGGTTTTAAAATAGGCACATGCTTTATCATGTGCTGACCTACTAATGTGAAGAAATCCCCAATGTCAATGAAGTTTAGAAAGGGAGCCCCAGGGGATCACGGTGTTCTTGACCCCAGTGACAGTCAGTAAGTATGCAGCCTTCCTCGTGTGGACATCTGTCCTTGGGTGTAAGTTTTGCCCTTTTCAAAGAACCACAGTACCAGCAAGACCAAAACAGAGTTTTTAGTACATATGTTATTCCCCAAACGAGTATCTATGTCAGAAGATGTATGAATTCTGATATTTCGTAGTGTCACCACCATCCTAATTATTGAATACCTTATTTATTTAGTTCCAGTGAATGACTGAGTGAGGATGCAGAGAGAAATAGTTCTGCTTGCACATGAGGTACACCTTCCTGTGCCTGTGTCCTTAGGTGATAACCGAGAGTTTTAAGAGTTCAGTGATACAAAATGTGACTTTACAGAAATAACTGTGCTTTTTTCTGTGCCTCAAGACAGCCGTCTACCCCGCCTCAATGCAAGGTGAGGTGCTTATCCTCCATGTCCTTTTGGCGCCCTGATTTACCTCTCATATAGCATTTCTCTCCCTTTCTGGTGATTTCTGTTAACTTGTCTACTTTCCACACTGGATGGTGAGCTCCTTTAAGACAGGAATGTGTCATTCCTTCTGGTAATACTCGTGTCTGACGAAGGGGGTGAAGGGCTGGCAGAATGGGTGGGTGGGAGGGAAGACGGGTGATGGGTGAGCAGCAGAGGTGGTGAGTAGAAACAGGAGCAGAAAATAAGTGCTTGTTGTTCGGCATAATGACGTCATATCAAGTAATACATGAAGTTAAACTGATGCAGGTGAGCTGTTTGACCAGTTGGGAACACTCGATAGAGCAAAAGTACTCCCAGTAGCTACAATCATTGATCTGCACACAAGTTTTGAAGAAGGTAAAGCTAATTCATCATGTAAGCAATTTGCTTGTCCATGAAGACATAAGGCTTATATGTCCAATTACCAGCTTGATCAATGAAATGATTTAGGAAGTCAGGCTTGGTTCATTTGCAATAGATGACCAATTATAAGACGAATGTCTAATTTGAAGCTCTGCTATGCTTGTTTCAAAAATACCAAGCTCGTTATAGCAGCGGTTCTCAAACTGGGTCATACAATTGATCCTTCAACAACTCAGGGATTAAGGGTGCCAACTTCTCGTATGTTATATGTATTATATACTGTATTCTTGCAGTAAAGTAAGCTGGAGAAAAGTAAATGTTAAGAAAGCCATAAGGAAAAGAACATCCATTTACAGGAAAGACTAAAAAACATGGAGTATGAGTGGACACAACACAGTTCAAACCCATGTGGTCAAGGGCCAGCTGTACATTATAATCCCCAGGGAAGCTTGAAAAAAATCCTGATTCTCAGGCTCTCTCGCAGACATCGACTCAGACTCCTGGGGGTGGTACCCAGGCATCAGTAGCTTGTCAAGCTCCCCAGGTGAATCCAGTGGGCCTGATGACCTCTTACCTGGGCTATGGACCACATGGGGACACTAGACTATAAATTCCAAGAAGGAATTGGCCCAAATATAGCAAGAAATTGGGCTGGAGCATGGGACACTTGGGTGGCTCCGTCGGTTAAGCAGCAGTCTTTGGCTCAGGTCATGATCTCGGGGTCCTGGGATGAGTCCTGCATCAGGCTCCTTGCTCAGCGGGGAGCCTGCTTCTCCCTCTGCCTGCCTCTCCCCTGGCTTGTGCTCTCTCTCTCTGACAAATAAATAAATAAATAAAATCTTAAAAAAAAAAGGAAATTGGGCTGGAGCATAGAAATGGATGCACTCTAAAAGTATCTTAAATTAATAATTTTAAAAACTCATACTCCCTAAAAAGTGACAATGCACTGCAAGTCAATTTCATTGTTTTGAATTCATTAATAACTAAAGTCATTGTTTTATACCTCGCTTAATTGGATGTCGTGCACTTAACTGAGCTCTCCACGCTTGGAAAGATAACGATGTTTACAGCTCAGTGTAGACGAGGTATGCAGGGGATGGGCGCTGGTTTCCTGGCCCAACTGCCACTCACTTTGTCTCAAATGCCACAGGTGCGGCAGGCCAAGCCTTTTAATACCACGTCCACCCTTGGGGATTAAATTCATTCCCAGAGAAAAGGGATTCATAAATCCTGGCCCTGCCTTCCAAACAGCAGTCTGATTTCACCAGGGTGATAAATTGCTCCTATCAAAACAGACATCAAGTCTCCGAGGGAAATAATGGGCTCCGACAGAACCGAGGGGGAACATCTTCAGCACTTACGAGCAGGGGGCTGGTGACAAAATCAAGGCTTGGGAAATCAGTGACTATTTTTATTTATTTTTTTTGAACCTCTCTCAACCTCTCTCAAATTGTAAGAGGTACCGAAGAACAGATGAAAAGGATAACGTGATTAACTTTAAATGAAACAAATCCATCATAAAAATGTCCCAGGGAGCACGTTTGTTGGAGGGTGTGGGATCGGGCCCAGGGTTGGGCGGGCTGGCGGAAAGGTGTGTGGGGTTGTCCTTTATAGTCTCTCTGGCAGGATTCCTTGGGTGGGGAAGCCACTGTCAGGGTGAGGTGATTTACTGTGTGGAGAGGCACTGCTTGCTGAGAACCCTTTCCTGCCCACCCTGCCCCATCTACCTACAGCTCTCACATTACTCCAGAGGAAGGTCCAGGGCCCTGGTGAACATGCTAATGTTTTCTAGCCAGAAAAACCCATTAAACCATGACTTGCTAGTAACAGTTTATGGTAAATCACTTTCCCCAAATAGCTGAACTGGCCTCTTACTTGGGCCCAGAAATAAAAGGGAGAATGGAAATTGATTACACAACCTCGCTTTTCCCGATTTTCTAACACAGGATCTTGCCAGACCTTAGGCTTCTCTGAACGAAGACAATAGCCTCTTCCCGGACTCAGTGTGAGTCAGGTTCCTGTGGCTGTTTCCTTGGCTGGAGATCCTTTGGCTGCATCCTCTGTGCCCCACAGGGCCCGCAACACTCTTGGAAGTCTCTCTGAATGCCCCCGGGAGGATTACCTGCTGCTTTTATAGCTCTTGGTATGTCCTCTAACACATGGGAGCAGAGAGTAGCCAACTGAGTGCCTTCACTCACGCATTCATTCAACAGTGATTGTTGAGCTCTTACAAGGCACCAGGCACTGTGCCCCATACCCAGGACAGAGGAAAAAAGAGTGGAGACAGATCTGTCCCTGGGGAGACCCAGATCCTTGTGCTTTGCATGGCATTCCGGGGGTGCTGTGAGGCTGCAGGTGACCCTGGGTTCTGCGGGGAGGAGGCTGAGGGGGGATGCTCTCCTTGGCGGGGTCTCTCGCTTTCTTCATCAGTCTGGAGCACTGAAAGTTTCTTCCAATTCTGAGTTTCTGTGCGCTGGAGTAATCTAAAACAAATACTTTTTTAAATGTGATTTTTTTGGGTCTCTGAATCGCTAAAGTAAAATATCTTCCTTGTAGAAAGTTTGTACCATACCGAGAATCAGAAAGGAAATAAATTCATCATAATTTTACCACTTAGGAGTAATCACTGTTTAACATTCTACTTTGATAATTAGCCTATTATTACGCATATATTCCTTTTAAGGTTTTTTTTTTTTAATTTATTTGAGAGAGAGAGAGAGAAAGAGAACGGGCAGGGAGAGTGGCAGAGGGAGAGGCAGAAGCAGGGAGCCTGATGAAGAACTTGATCCCAGGACCCTGGGACCATGACCTGAGCTGAAGGTGGACGCTTCACCAATGGAGCCACCCAGGCACCCGGCATATATTCCTTTGATGAGGTCAAGAACAACTACTTTTTTGTTGGTCCACGAATTCCCATAGGTATGTATTTTTTCCGTCAGTGTATCTTCCCTTTCAACATGATTTTTATGGTTTACTCTTACTGCTACTACCATCTTATTATTTCTCTTATTATTACGTGGCATGGATCAAGTATTTACAACCTGCCAGCCATGATGCTGCATGTTTTCTATATTGCAGGCCTTTACTGCCCAGTGGCCCAGGTGAGATTCCCTAACCAGCCCCTTCAGGCTGACAGTGCTTAGGCCGCGTGCCGAAGACTGGCCTCGCGAGGGGGGTCCCGGCTGAGGAGCCAGGTGTCCACAGGCCACACCCCCACCTGGCACTGTGCATCTTTTCCGCATCTGAGTTCTAAGTATCCAACCCATGCCCCGTCCTCGTCAGTTTCCAGTTTCCCACCATCTTGAACAACCGTTTGATTAAATCCTTGTAGCCACACCTTTGCACAGGATCTCTTCTTTTTGCTTCAGATAAATCCTAGCAGTAGAATTGCAAAGCCAAAGGTCACGTTAACTCTTGGCGTGTGCTGCCCATTGCCCCTCTCTCCAGAACTAGAGCTGGTACGTGAAGTGCCCCGAACCGGGCTAAGAGCAGACAAAGGGAGCAGTCGCAATGCTGAGGATGAAAAAATCAGACTCACCCAAAGCCAGACGGAGATGCTGAGGCTGGAGGGAGACCGCTCACCACAAACCGGCACCTCCAGCCCTGCCAATACCAGGGGCCCTTGATTTATAGCAGGTAAGGGGACAATGGTATAGGGTATGGGTTTTACCAGCCACATCATCTAAAGTTACGGATATCAATCCAATGCTGACTTTTCATTTGCCTTGAATTAAAAAAAAAAAAAAAATCATGTGGGCCTCTATTGTCTTTCTCTGCTATAGCCAAGCCTGAAGCTCGTGCCAACGTTTCTCACGTAGAAATGTCAGAAGAAATCCCAGTGCCATCGAACAAGACCTTTATTCCTCCACCTGCACATTATGACTCTAATAAACACGTTATCAGCCCATGAAAATGATGGCAAACAGGTGACTGAAGGATTTGTTAAGTCAGCAGCAAAGATTAACAGTTCTTTTCAGAGAAAGCTGTGAGAGGTTCCCCCGTTTAAAACAATTGTGGCATGCGAATTTTCAGCACTTAAATCATTATCGGCAATTAGTCCTTGTCAAAAAGGTTGCAGCTGGCTTCAATTACAGGTAAGTTTTTTATAATTTGAACTTAGTAGTGCGTCTGATAAGTAGGACTTGGAGAAACATCCTTTGGGAGATTTACAATTTGAGAAAAACTTCAAGGCATTTTAAAATTCAAAAATTCATTATTTTCAGCAACGCTTTGTTCCTGACGTCTATTATTAAGCTTTTAGAAAAATTTCCATAAACTTCATCCTTCAGCTGTATTCTTCCCTAACAGAAAAATTACTGATGATTAAAAAATTGCTTTTTCAATTATAAAGCACTACATGCACATTATATACCAAAAATTCTGAGCAGTACAGAGGATACAAAACAAAAATAACTGTCTTTGTAGACACACCCTCATCCTCAGTCCACCCAGCTCCAGAGCTAAGCAATTTTGGTTTTAATTCTTCCAGAAATTACCACCATAACTTCTCTAGAATTATTTTTATCGCTGTATCTTAATCAGTTAACCTTGGGCAGTGTGCATTAACTCTTCACCAAGGAAGATGTGGGCGGCATCTGGCTGGCTCCGTTGGTAGAGCACGTGACTCCTGATCCTGGGGTTGTGAGTTCAAGCCCCGCGTAGGGGAAGAAAGAGAGAGAGAAAGAAAGGAAGGAAGGAAGGAAGGAAGTGAGATTTAGTGCCTTTACATACCCTCCCATCTTTCCTTCATATGTTGGCTTTTGCTGATTATGTACTTTTTAAGTTTTTCTGTAGCTTCACAACTTTTAGTACTATGCTTACCTATTTCTTGATCCACCAACTTTAGATTTTCACCATTCTCACAGATGTGTAGCAGTATCTTGAGGCTGTTTTAATTTGCATCTCCCTGATGACATAGGAGGTAGAGCATCTTTTCATATGCGTCCTTGCCTCCTGCCTATCTTTTTTGGTAAAGTGTTCAGCTCTTTTGCTCATTATTTTAAGTCAGTTCCTTACTTTCTTACTGTTGAGTTTTAAGTGATTTTTGGGTACATTTTGGGTAACAGTTGTTTCTCGGATATGTCTTTTGCAAATATTTTCCCCCAGTCTGTGGCTTGTCTTCTCGTTCTTCTGATATCGTCTTTCCCAGAGCAGAAGTTTGTAATTTTAAGGGTGACCAGCTTATTAATTATTTCTTTCATGGATCACGCCCTTGGAGTTGTGGAGCCATCAACTTGAGGCGTTATCTGTTGATTCCTCATTAATAAAGGTGAGAAAATTGGCATCTGTACAATCCCCAACTTTCTTTCCTCTTTTTCCAGCTATGCCATTGTATTTTCATATTATATTTATATGTTTATCATAACTAAAAGTTTTCTAGGCTCCTAAGGATCAATTCTAAAAACAAAGAGTTTAAAAAGCAGCATCTATATTCCATGATTATTTAATATTTTTCCTGCAAAACAAATTAAGGAAGGGTTTTGTGTTACTAAATTCGTGCTATTTGAAGGATAATCTTCCAAGAGTCAGGATTGAATGTATTTTTCTTTTCCTAAACCCCATCTATTGCTCAAAATTAGGTCATCTTAAATTTGCTCCATCTTTAGGCCATGCATGTTCTGTACAGCTACCTTCCCGTTCCTCTCACCCCCATGATGTTTCTTTCTTTCTTTTTTTTTTTTTTTTAAGTTTTTTTTTTTTTTTTGAGAGACTGAGAGAGAGAGAGAGAGAGAGCAAGCAAGCAGGGGGAGGGTCACAGGGAAAGGGAGAGAATCTCAAGTAGACTCCTTGCTGAGCATGGAGCCTGACGCGGGGCTCGATCCCAGGACCCTGAGGTCATGACCTGAGCCAAAATCCGGAGTTAGCCACTTAATTGACTGAGCCACCCAGATGCCCCTGTCCCCCCTGATATTTCTTGTGTTCATTCTTTTTCTTTGTTCTTAATTTTTGTAACCGGTGACTGAAGGAATGTATGCATCCTCATGTCTTTTAGACCTCTCAGGATCTTAATCACACAATATACCTAATTGGATTTGTTTCTGTCTTGAAGACCTTCACTGAGCCTTCTTGGTTTCTCTTTTAATGGGTTCATTGCTTTCTAGACACACCACACAGCTCACAGCCTTGGATTGCTGTCCTTGATCTTCTCCTTCGTTCACTGCAAATTAAATTTTACAGCATTTTTTTCTGGAGTTCCTTTTCCATTTTGCCAGAATATAACTTCTCTGTGCCACAGCTTCTCTGTCTATAAACTTAGGATAAATATAATGTCATAGGATTGATGTGAAGGTTCAAAGTTCCTGTAAAGTGCTAAGAAGACTACCTTGCAAGTATTGCTCGGCAATATTTTCAGAAAGGGAAGTAAAACTCTTTGAGTCCAAAAACTCTCAAAATATCTTTATTTTCTACCGCCCCACTTGGTTGATAGCTTGGACTAGAATTTCAGTTTTCCCTTAAGATCTGAAATGTTTTGCTCCTTCATCCTCCAACATTACATTCTATTGGTAAGTCTGAGTTCAGTTTAGTTCTCATCCTGTGGAGATCATCTTTATTTTTTTTTCTCTTCCTTCTAGAAGCAGCTAGGGCTCTTGTTTTATTGTTGGGGTTCTACAGTGTTGACAGGGTACAGATAGGTTTTGTATTCTCTTTTGCTCATCCTGTTTGACACAGGTTGTGCCCTTTCTATTTGAAAATTCAGGTCTCTCTTTAGTCGAGAAGATTCTCTTCTTTTATTTCTCTATTTCCTCCTCTCTATTGTCCTTGTTATCTGTGTCTGGAGATCTCTCTAGGGATGCTTTTAGAATTAAAGAAATTCTCTTCTGGTTCTATAATTATGTCTCTTTTCCCTGGGGTCAGTTTTCTATCTCTTTCTCTTGAATATTTTATTTAATTTTTTTCCTTTTCAAATTCCTGGTGATTTTTGGTTGAGTCTTCATGAATGATGAGCAAAGGTAGTTGGTGAGCAAGGGTAGCTGATGTGGTTTCCTGTGCAAATGTGTTGGTCTGTAAAGCAGAACCATCACTCTCTTGACCTGGACGCACATGGGCAGCTCTGGTGACAGGTGCGCTTCCCCTGACGTACAAGAGCAGAGAGTGGGCTTGGGACCTCCCATGACTGGCACTTTCCCCAACGAATCCCAATTCCTCAGAGGTAAAAAACATATCCAGTAAAATAAGGGCAATTATTTCATTGTCTCCTAAGGCAAATTCATACATTAACTGAATTTCATCTTCTTTCATTGTTAGGGGGAGAAGGCAGCACATTACAAGGGACTGAACTGCAGTGGAGGACTAGGCAGAGAGTTGGTAGAGCAGCATGAATGTTTGCAGAGATGAAGCACCACCATGCTTCTCCAGTCACAGTTGCCTATGGGTCATCCATTTTGTTGCCGCTAAAGAAGCCAACAGCCTGATGGGCCTTCCTGGGTGCCCCTCCATGCATTCCCAGGGGTGTCACTCACTAGACGTTCTTAGGTGAGTCAATGTGGCCATCTCCTCCTACTTGGTCCTCATTTCTGGGGTCTCCTTGCAATGTCTGACCCTCCTGGGATCTCTGCAGATGGTGGCCATCACTTCAGCGGTTAAACCTCGGTCTCTAGCCCATGTCTCTCTCTTAAGTCCCACTTGGGGGAGGGTCCCACAGGCATCTCCCATTCACAGTCCCAAAGCTAACATTGGCATTTTTCCCCACTCCCTTCTTCCAAGTTCCCATTTTGCTCTGTGGTGCCCTATCTATCTGGTTGCCCAAGCCGAGACAGAGTTTGAGTTGCTTTAACAAACACCACAGCCTGAGGGGCTTGAACAAGAGAGATTTATTTCTCATGGTCTTGGAGGCTGGAAGTCTGAGATCAGGGAGCCAGCATGGCCAGGTGGGGGTCCTCTTCCTAGTCTGCAGAGGCATGCCTTCTGGCAGAGAGGGAGGTCACCTCTCTGGTGCCTTTTCTTAGAAGGGCCCCAGTGCCATTGAGGGTGCTCCGCACTCAGGACCTACTCACCTTCCAGAGGCTCACCTCCTGATGCTTTGAGTCCGTAGACGGTCTTGTATCTTTTACATGTCTGTTGTGTGTCCCCTTCTCCGGCTTCTCTTGCCTTGGCTCAAGTCCTGCTCGTCCTGGTCTGCATGGCCTCTAGATGCTTTCTCCCTGTGTATGTGGCTCTCTCTCACAACACTGCACATCCAGAGGGTGGATCTCTTGCTGCAAGGCCTGGTGTGTGGGACCATATCTGTCTGTCTGTCTGCCTACCTGTCTGTCCTCTCCTCTAAGCTTCCTCAGCTCCCCCACCCCCAATCTCTGATGCGCCCACGACAGCAACAATGACAGCCAGTGGTAAGGAAGCTCCCAAGGGCAGGACTGTTTGTTCTTCTGTTTTCTTCACTGCTGATCTCCAGGGCCCGGAGCAGTGCACAGCATGTTGGTGTTCAAGAATAGGGTGTGCATACACTCAGTACCTCTTTCCATCCTTTCATCACATGCGTCTTCCCCAGCTCTTACCCTAATCTTCTGATTTTCCCTCTTTCCCTCCCTGCCAAGTGTCCCAAATGCATACAGTCTACTCTGTGATAGTATCTTCCTGATAATAGTGGGGACGAATGCACTGGCCACACCTGCGGCTGCATCCTGTGGGCTCGAGGTGTGTTACTCTGTTCTGGTGAAGCTACTCCAACCGGAAGTTACAGATGGTGTTGCTACTTGGTTGATCTGTCTTGTCGAGTGTGTCGGGATTGTTTAGGGGCCAGATTGGTGAATTAACTAGATGTGTGTTGGCTTCACACCCCGCATGCTCTAGGTCTTTAACCTCTGGCATTTCCTCCAGGTGTGGGATGTATTTTTGATTTCCTATCTTGGTGTGGATGTTCATGGGTGGGGGAGGCATTTCAGGGGCTTCCATTTAGTTTTCCCACTGCGGTCATTCTTACCTCCTACTCCAGAAATGAATGTAGTAATTCTTTCCATTTCCAGAGTCCCTTTAAATTTTACCTTGGGGGCTGGGGGAAGACCATGGTTGGGTCTGTGGACCCAGGGAAGCCACTCTGAGCCAGACCTGGCCAGGTCTTCCTTACCCCTGGCCCACATGCCTTCACTTTGATGATGGGCTTGAGGATCAGTTATCAGTGTCATCTCCATCTTGTGCCCCCAAATCCTCAAGGGGTCTGGGTATCCCCCGTCCTCCAGCGTGTGGTTACCTGAGTACATGGTGTGTACTTCCCTCTTTGCGGAAGAACGAGGGGAGTCACCCACCTGTGCACTTGCTGTGATGCTGCAGGTCCTTCCTCCTGGGGACCCACCTGTTCTTCAGGCAGTGGGTGCTGGCCCTGAACACTGGCTCAGGTCCAGGTACCAACTCTGGCGCTGAGATGTGGCTTTTTCTTGGGACAGTTCGATTGTCTTGATTCAGCCTCTTGATCGTCTTTCTTTGAAAAAAAATTTTTTTTTGAGTGTACAGATTGAACAATGCTCTTGTGGCCACCCGTCTCTCTCAGTCCTAGGCATGCTGTGTCCACTACTCTCTCTGGGTCAGGCCCCTGTGGCTGCCACTCCAGCCACGTTGCCCAATTATAATGGTGCCCCCCCTTGCATCTAGTTAGACACCACAGTGGCTTTTATCACTTCAAGACTCCATCAGCACATTTCCATCAGGGGGTCCAGTTGGGCAACAACAGGATGGCCCCTTCTGTGTTTTTCAGCACTGCCCCCCGACGGCATGTGGGGAGTGCTTATTCCTGGGCTTTCTTGCCAGGCATGGTTGGTTGGCTTCCCGATCTCCATGATATGTCTGCTCTGGAAAGGCCACTTCCCTGAGCCTCTACCTCCTTTACTCCGCTATCTGGAGGGCAGTCCTGGCATTTCTGCTTCTCAGTGCGGGCCATCCTAGCAGCATGGCGTCCTGCCTTGGGGCCTTTCCAGAGTATCACACTGTCCGCATTATGGAAGATACGCCCACATGGATGCAGGATGCACTCTCCCTATTGCACACTTAGGTTCTGTGCATCCCAATCCAGCCCGTGTGTTCTTCTGGGTCTTGTCAATGGCTCTAGGCTGGGTCCTGCAGCCTCTTCTTTCCTGTAGCAGCCCCAGAGCTTCCCCAGCGGAGTGTTGCTGTGACTTGGTCTGTGGGTGGGAGGGCAGTGGGAGTAGATCTCAGGGGTGTACCTGCTGCCGGTGGGGCAGAGGCCTCTGCAGCATTTTCCAGCAAGGGCCGAGCACTGGCCTTCGACAGGAGGAGAGGGCCACTTCTGCAGGCCCAGAGGGTCCTCAAGGGGATTTTTGTGACCTCTGACCTAGAAGTCCCCATTATAATTATCAGGGTCCCACTCCCTTCAAACCAGAGTCCACCACGGGCATCGTGGACTTTTTGGGGCTGAGGATTTAACCTTCTCTGGAGCTCTGCAGCCCTGATGATTAAGTCCTGAGCCCCATCTTCAGCTTTCCCACATCTCTGGCTAAAAGAGATGTGTCTTCTTAGATTGCTGCCAGTGAGGCCTCTGACTTGCATGATCCACCTTAAATTGGCAATTAATAACTCTCAGGCTTTCTTTGTCTTTCTCCAATAGATGATGACACTCAGTGACAGCCATTCAACTCCATTATCCTCATAATTACCACTTTCCCAAGCTCTCTGGTGTCTGAGATACTGTACCTATTAGTACCTTCCTTCCCTTCCACAGTGTCTGTCCCAGTGCACCAGCGGGAAAAGTGTGAACAGTGCCACCGTGACAACCTGCCAAGGGCTTCCTGTATCCCATCCGCCACCGGCCCTGGGGCCTCATTGCTGTCTGTTCGCATTTGGTGGATGGATGCCATGCACCGCTGAGATCTCCTATCTAAATTGCTATTTATAGATAATCTGTGCTGGCCTGGGCACCCCGGGAGTGTAAGGAAGATGTTGTATGTAACCCTTCAGCCTTTGTTCTGTTGAAGAGCATAGGATTCACGTGCATTCCCCTGAGGTGGGGACAGACACCTGCCAGCTCCAGGGGATGGCCATCCTGATGGGAGCAGGCAGACATGCTGGGGACCTAGGAACCACCATCCAGAAGAGAGAAGCACCTTAGGCCAAGAGTGGACTTGTTTTTAAAAGACAGAAGTGGCTACAGACTTAGGTAAGTGAAGAGAGAGAAAGACAAGGTTTGAAGAATCTGATAAATAAAGAGTTAGCCTTTGTGTTTCCTCGGACTTTCTATTTTTTTAGGATTAAAAAAACCCATATAATCAAGGCTTTAATTCTCACCATCAAACTAATAAACAAAAATACACTATTCTCCTGGGAAGGACCTTGGAATAATTTCTTAAGACATGACACGTGACATGCCAGCAACCCTCTTCCAGTTCCGCCCCAACCCATCCCACCCGCCGTTTCCTCCCTCCCTTCTTTTCTTGCTCCCATCTTTCCTTTCTTTCATACGTGTCTATTTATTGAGTGCCTGCCTGGCGCCACGCACCGATCTAGTCCTGGGATCACCCAACCAGAAAGGTCCGTTTGGTCTTTCCTGGGGTCTCATCTGCATGGGAATGACCTCCAGGCTCCATTCTGACAGATTCCTTCTCGGATGCAACTAGGTCCCTCTACACGGATTTCCTCCGTGGTACAATGAATGGGATGATACTTTACATTGATGGAAGGAGTCTTAATGATTATTTATAAAGTGTGTTGAACATGCAAGGCACAAGTGCACCAACTGTGAACTTAGATTGGACCCCATTTTACTGAGTTTCAGCAATTTCTAGCGTGGTCTTCAGGCAGGGCCTCATAGGTATGAAACATTGCCAACTGCATATATTTTCTCATAAAAAAAAAAAATCTCATTAAGGAGAACTCTTCCTTTAGAGTCATCCTTTCCACAGGAAATCCCATGCAACCATGCAGGCATGGTAGCTTTTTTCCCCCCTAATGCAAGGGCCAATGCATACAGCAATTAATCTTTTGTTTACTTGAAACTTTCACATTCAGAAGGTTTCATTTTCACATCCAAACTCCCTGCTCTTTTGTGCAGGGAATAATGGTGCTGTATTTCTAATTATGAGGCCTCGCTGCAACTTCTGAATACCGCTTTTCTTCCCCCTTCCTCTTCTTCTAAGAAGAGCGCATGAAAAGCAGAATTTGTATTTTCCCTGGTTTGTAAGTACCATCATGTGGGGCGCTCTCCGTTTGGTCCTGAGCTCCTTCTTCTCTATGTTTGAACCATAGCGTCGATCTGGCCCACTCAAGATTCCCACTGGCGAGGAGCTGCTTTATTCGTAACCAATCCTTTCAAGCCAGGTTTTTTTAAATAATAAAAATAATGTATAAAAAGCACCCCCTGGGAGAAACTGTCAGGCCACACAGCTGGTAATTTCAAGGGGTGGGGGGAGCTGCAGTCCGCACTCCACTTTCCTGTGATTCCAGCTGATTTCTTTTAAGTGACACTGCTTTCGTTACGTTTGGTCATTCTAGGAAATGGACGGTCTTGCGCGAACATTCTTGGGAAGGTAATG